CCTAAGTGCAACACTAGTTTTTTCTACTCTTCCTCTGCATCCAGACTTTAAAATTGTTATTGTTTTTGAAGGTAGTAATTTATGCTACTTACTTTTTAGCTTATACTGTTGAAAGTTCTTACATTGTTTACTTTGACGGTCACAGAAAGATTCTTAGTAACTGTCTTCAAATATTTTGTGTACAAAATGGTCTTTTATCAGAGGAGGGAGTGGTTTGAAGTTGCCTTGAAAGTGTTCTTTTTTTCTGAACCCTTACAGTAGAGTTGATTTGAAAAGTGCTTATCAGATAATTCAAATTTTTGTAAAACATAATTCAAAGACTAGGAGCAGAGTGGACGATAAATGATTAAGACAAATTTTGAAACTTACTAAAAATAAGCAATTTTTATCACGCAGATAAAGCAGTTTTGGGGGAACGAATTTTGCTGAATATAGCTGAGGAGAAGATTTAAGTTTGTATCCGGAAACGTCGTTGCCAAGAACCTAGTTTGGAATATCAGCTGTGAAAAAAAATACGAAGGACAGAAATTTTTTATGGTTTAAATAATCAAGGGCGATACTTTGTCTTGACTGTTCAAAATTTAACACCATAGTTAGAAGTGGAATTGTCAATTAAATTTACCAGTTTGGAAGAATATTTAATAAAAGTAAAGAAAAACAATGAAATTAGCAATGTAAAAGATCATATCTAATTGCATCTACTTTTTTTTAATCTAATAAATGTATTGTATCATATTGTATCAATTTAGTTGAAGCAGCAACCTTTAATTGAGATAGAATTTTTGTCGTTCTTTATGAAGTCGAAAAATAAAGCAGCGCAGCATTAAATGATAGTGTTTAGAGGTTCTCTTATAACTTTTGTTTTGCTATTCATAGATTTGTTTGGATCGTTTTGTGATAGAAAAATTTTTTATAGTTGGAAATTGGAAGTTGAACCAAATTGGGATTGTATCTTAAATCAAACGGAAATTTTTAACGAACATGAGCAAGCAAATTTACCGTTGAATGTGATGAACAACTACTTCAGTATTGGTGCAGATGCACATGTGGCATTACAGTTCCATCATTCACGAAGTCAGTTTATTTTTCTTTTGGGTCTGAACAAATATAATTTAGCTTCTGAAATATTGTTTAAAAGATTGTTTATAGTACAATCAATACTTGTTGCGAAAATATGTTTTGGTTGAAAATTTTATGTCATGAGCTATTTTTAGGTGCTAATCCACAAATGTTGAATAGTCGTTTTCGTAATCGTATCGCATACGGTGGCTTGGGTACAATCAATTTATTCAAAAGGACATGGAAAGATTTGTCTAACTATGTCCGACTAGAGGCAAGCAAATAATGCAGTGATGTAGCACATTGTGAAATATTGTAGAAACAAAGCTTGCAACAGTTTCAGTATGGTTCATTTTGTTGCTGCTAAATGACTATTCCTGATTTTACAGTGTGATGGTGATGATTATACGAATGTTGTAAAAAGTAACCGATTTCATTGTCTTCTGTTCCATAATATTACCTATTATGCTGGTGGTACGATTCCGTGGGGTAATGACGGCGATGACAGTTGTTCGCCAACATTTCACGATGGACGCATTGAGGTTATCGGGTTCACGACAGCTCAGTTGGTATGCTTTCCATTCGAACATTTCTTATTGCTAACAAACAAAGTGTACTCCTGGCTAAGAACAGTTTCTGTCAGATATATGCAAGTAAAGCTTTTTGTTAGCCACTTTTATGGTTGTCTTCTTAAAAATTATATGATTTTGAAAATACGAAATATTATCATGAAATTGAAGGATTAGGTAGTAGTACTGATGTATATGTAACACTTCTTTGTTAGTTAGTACGCGAAACTTGGAAACGTCAGATCAGATGTGGTGAAGTGATTGTTGAAATAGTTTTCTATTGGGTGCTGCTGACCGAAACCTTAGTAATTATAAACTCTTATAAAACGCTGCAGAATCTGTGTATTTCTGCTTTAAGCGGATTTTTCAACTTGAGTTTCTTAGGCGGCTCTTCAAATGGGTGGAAGAGGTGAAAGAATTGCTCAATGTTCGCATGTTCGACTGGTAACATCAAAAGCAATACCAATGCAGGTGGACGGGGAGCCTTGCCTTTTATCGCCATCATCAATTAATCTTACATTTCATAATAAGGTAATATATTACAAGTAATTTTTAGTCAAGTAGTAGCTTGAACAATAGTTTTTTTTGTTATTGGTTATCATTAAGAAAAAGAGACAGAATTGGAGAATCGGCTGTGTTAGCATATAAAAAGTAAAACTTGCCGTGCATCATAATTTAAGAATTATTCTTGTAATCATAGCAGATTCTTACTGTTTTATTCCTTATGGGTAAGAAAAAAAAGCTTATTGGAAATTTTCAATAAAATGTAGATTAGGAAAGGACGGAAATTTTAAACTGTTTGTTTCATATAAATCTTTTCTAAAATTGATTTTACTTGTACGGTTTTCCTTTTTCTTCTCTCATAAAATTCTAATATTAAATACTTTTTCTTACTCCTCGCTTTTTCTTCTTTTATTTATTTATTCATCTGTTTTTTTTTCACTTGCAACAGAGGAAGATTAAACTGTTCACCTTATTTTTTCTCGTCTTTCCTTTATGCTACTTTCTGGTCTCTTAATCCCTTCCATTTTTCCTTCATCCCCTCCTCCTGACGCCTCTCCTCTCCCTTGTCATTGACGTAGGCAAATCATCAACTAAAAACACTCTCTTCAGCATCAGCAAGAGCAGATTCAGCATGTTCAGTCTCACTTTTCTTCGCCCATGTTCAGTGGCTTCTTTGTTGATTTTGTACTTTACTTATGACTTATGCACATATTTATACAATTACACAAGAAGCGCAACCTAGGCACATTATTTCATTACATGCACCACATCGATATGGCCATATTTTTTGGTTTTGTTGTTATTGTTTTTTGCCGGGTGGAAAAAAAATAACATTGACAAATAGATAAATAATTAAACATGTGAAATAAAATGTAAAAAAATACAATTGTTGAAGGCCTTTCTTCTACATCCTTCTACTTCCTCGTCATATCCTTCATTTTCACCTCTTTTTTTCTTAGAACAATTTCTTTTACTCACCTGCAATACCTCCTCTTTTGAGAAAAAAAAAAGAAATTTCTCACTTTCTATTTCAATTTTTTTTCTTCAAGTTTTTAACGGTTAATTTTATGTGTAAATTGATGTTCATTCTGGGTGTGTCATGAGATTTTTCCAATTTAGGCTTCTAATTGTTTGTTTCCTGTATCATAAAAATGTTGCAAATAGTGAAGTGGAAGAAAAAAGCGTGGAGGAGAAGAAAAAAATTGATGAAAAAATTTTAATAGATTTTTGTTGCTAACTTTTTTTTCATATTTTTCACCGTATTTTTTTTGTCTGTCTATCATCAAGCGAGGGAAAGAAAGGATAAATTAATTTAAATAGCTTTTTATTTATGCTTTTCAGGAGTTTTATAAACATCTTTAAAGATTCATATACAGACATATATAGACTTTTGTCTAAAAATGTTTGTTAGCTTTTTACTTAGCTAGAATATTGTTTCCAAATTTTTGTAAAAAAGTATGAATTAAACATTTCTGATTTTAAAATCGATTAATTACTTTTTTGTTTTTTTTTTTTT